TAATTGATCTGAGACCCTTTATTCCCCTAATATAATCATTTAGTGCTATAAATTTCCCTCTTGATACTGCTTTAACTGCCTCCCACATATTTTGATGCATAGAGTCTTCATTTTTATTCAGGTCAAATGATATGTAGTGTTTTCATTTTTATTCAGATTATTCAGGTCAAAATGCTTTCTAATTTCCATTGTGTTTTTTCTTTGACCTATATGTTATTTAGACATGTGCTATTTATTTTCCAAGTATTTGGAAGATTTCCCAGATACTTTTTTGTTCCTGATTTCTAATTTAATTCCATTGGGGTCAGGAAATATTATTTTTATTCCTTTCAAGTTCTATTGAAACTTAAAAAAAATTTTCAAAATATGACCTTTGAAAATATCTCATGATCATTGAAAAGAAGGTCTATTGTGTTATAATTGTGTGCTCTATAAATGTCAGTTAAATAATGTTGGGTGATAATGTTATTTGAGTCTCCTATATCTCTTACTGATCTTCTGTGTAGGTTTTTACAAAATCAGTTATTGAAAGAAAAGTGTAGAAAGCTCCCATTATAATTGTGGATTTCTCTATTTGGTGTGAGGGGGGTGCTTTATATATTTTTAAGCTCTTTATTAGGTGTGTGAACTTTCAGGGTTATTATTTTCTCTTGATAAACTGACCCCTTGATTATTATAAAATGCCCTTATATACTTCTGCTAATACTATGTTCTCTGAAATCTACTTTTTTCTGTTATTAATATAGTCACTCCAGCTTTCTTTTGATTAGAGTTAACATGGCACATTTATTTCCCCTCATTTTTCTTTTAACCTATGCATATGTTTATATTTAAAGTGGGTTTCTTACAAATAGCTTATAGTGTGGTCTTATTTTTTTATCCAGTCTTAAAAAGTGCATTTAGAATGGGATGTTTATACCATTCATATTTAATGTGATTATTGATATGGTTGGGTATAAATCTGTCATTTTGCTATTGGATTTCTATTTTTCCCACTTGTTATTAGAGTCCCCCTTTCCTCTTATCCTCCCTTATTTTGGATTGAGTACTTTTCATGATCAATTTATTACCTTTACTAGCTTTGTTGCCCACACAGTGGGTGGGTTCAGTTGCTTGGCCACCAATAGTACAATGAGCTCAACCAAGGAGGATTTAACAAGGGAATCTAAAATTGCAACAAGTAAGGAGGACACTAGGGATAATTCTCCAAAGTAGTGCCTTCCTGAATAAAGCTGAAAACACCGTTTTGAGGCTTGTTAGCTGAATCATTGTATGTAGAAGGTAGAGTCAAGGCAGCACAGGCACAGTTGTCAATCATGTATGCACATACCTCACAGGTATACAAGATGGCAAATAAGCTCCTCCCTGGGTGGAGTTTTTAGTATGGTAATGAGGAGAGTTTGCCAAAGTTCATCTCCAATGGAGGCATCTCTGGATCTAACTGGTTTTCATTTTGCCAGCACTGGGCTTTCTTCCTGGAACTTTTATTAAACAACAACACAAGATGCAACAGTTACAAGTGGATACTTTTTTATAGTGTATGCCTAAAAACCTGAGGACCCTGGGTTGCAGCTTATTAGCTTTATCTCTGTTTTTAGAGGTTGCTTTAGGATTTGTTGTATATTTCCTTAACCTATCATAGTCATCTGCAAGTTACATTATGCCAGTTCATATATAATGTCAGAACATTAGAGAAGTATACTGTCTCTCACTTCTGGCTATTACGTTATGCTCTTATCACCTCACTTGGACACTGTCATAAGCCCCACAATGCATTGCCTTTTTGTTTTTGCTTTAAATAGTCTATTATCTTTGAAAACAATCTTAAAAAATTAAGAAAAAAAGGCTTTTATATTTTATATATTTTCTGTTTCCATGGTTTTTACAGTTTTTACTTCTTTTTATGGATCCAGATTTCCTTCTGGTATTATTTTACTTTTGTATTTTGTGCTTCTTTTAAGATTATTTGTAGTTCAGGTATGTTGGATTATGAATTATTTTAGCTTTTGTTAGAAAAAGTCTTCATTTTACTTTTATATTTGAAAGTTATTTTACTATGTATTCCAGGTCGATAGCTTCTTCTTTCATTACTTTAGAGATGTAATTCAATTGGCTTCTGGCTTGCACTGTTTCTGAGAGTTTCTCTGTTTACCTTGTCTGTGTGTATTTCTTTCTACATGGTTTCCTATTTTAAAAAGTTAATTATATGGTGTATGTCTAAGGTACACAATATTATGTTATGAAATACATACAGATGATAAAAAGGTTCCTGTAGTGAAGCAAATGAACATATCCATCATCTCACATAGGTACCCATTTGTGTTTTCTTTTGTTTTTCTGTGGCAAGAGCAGCAAATGAGTCGATTTTAGCTGCTCTTGCCTTACTGTTTCTTTTTTTCTGGCTGCCTTTACAAACTTTTTTTTTTTTAACATAATTTGATTATGATGTGCCTTGGTTTAATTTCCTTTATTTTTTTCTCCCCTTCTGGTTGGGGATTGTTGACCTTCCTGAATTTACGGATGGGCTTATAATTTTCATCCATTTTGAAAAGTTTTTGTAATTTTTTTTGTCTGTTTTAGGGACAAGGCCTTGTTCTGTCACCCAGGCTGGAGTGCAGTAGTGCAGTCACAGTTCAGAGTAGACTTGAATTCCTGGGCTCAAGTGAGCCTCCAACCTCAGCCTCCTGAATAGCTGGACTACAGGTGTGTGCCACCCGCCATGCCTGGCTGATTTCTAAAAACTTTTTTGTGTAGATGGAGTCTCACTATGTTGTCCAGGCTGATCTCAAACTCCTGGGCTCTCAGAGTGCTGGAATTATAGGCATGACTCCTCTGACCTGCGTTTTGTCATTATTTTTTAAAATAGATTTTTGTCTCGTCCCATCCTCCACTTCTGGGTCTCCAGTTACACATATATTTTTGTCTTTGGGGAGTAGAGGTTCTTTCTCTATGTTTTATTTTAGATAGTTTCTGTATGCACAGATTATTCTATCTGTACATTGACTCATCTTTTCTTTTGTGGTCTATTGTGGTGTTAATCCCAGTCAGCATAATTTTTAAAGTCTCAGATGTATTTTTTGTCTGTGCATGCTTGATTTGTGTCTTTTAAAAATATGTTTCTTGTTTTTCCTTTGTATTTTATGCTTCCCTGTATCATCTTCTACATATGCAATGTATTTATAATAGCTGTTTTATATCTATCTATCATCTATCAATCAATCGATCGAAATGGAGTCTCACTCTGTCGCCCAGGCTGGAGTACAGTGGCATGATCTCAGCTCACTGCAACCTCCTCCTCCCAGGTTCAAGCTATTCTCCTGCTTCAGCCTCCCAAGTAGCTGGGATTACAGGCACACACCACCATGCCTGGTTAATTTTTGTATTTTTAGTAGAGACAGGGTTTCACCATGTTGCTCAGGCTGGTCTCGAACTCCTGACCTTAAGTGATTTGCCTGCTTCTGCCTCCTAAAGTGTATAACGGTTGTTTTAATGTCTTTGTGTACTAATGATCTCGCTGTGTCATTTTTGGGTTTGTATCTTATTGATCAACTAATCTCATAATGAGATACATTTTTGTGCTTCTTTGCATGCCTAGTCTTGGATGGATGAGACATTGTAAACTTTGTATTGTTGGACTCTGTATTCTTTTAAAATATTTTGAACTATGTTTTGGAATGCATTCAAGTTACTTGGAAAATTAGAGACTTTGGTGGCTTGTTGTAGAGCTGTGTTAAGCATTGCCTAGTGTAGTACTGCAGCTTAGTCTGCTGCCGACGTGGTTCTGTTACTGAGGCAGCGCCCTTCAGTGATCAGCCTAGTGTCCCCTGTACTTCAAGGCTTCTGTAGTCTAGTTGTTGGGAGTATGAACTCTTTTCAGATCTGTGTGAACTGTAGCTATTGTCTGTCCTTTTTCTTTTCATTGGTTCTTCCCCTGGCCTCCAGTAGTTCACTTATTCACCTGTGCCCATCCATGTCCAGGTGAAGACTCAAGGGAACCCATCACAGACCTCTGAAATGTTTGTCTGTGCAGGGCATTCCTTTCTGGTACTCTGCCCTCTAATCCTAGCTGTGGGGTCCTGAGTACAGTGCATCCTGATGAGACAATGCTGCAGCCCCAGCCCACAGATGTCCAGAGATGTCAGCTGTAGGTCTCCTCTCTCGTCTCTGCCTTTGCCTCCCTGAATTCTCAATTCTGTCTCCAACTCCTCTGGCTTTGCCTGGGTTCCCCCTTCCTGTGCTGTGGCCTGGGCACTCTCCCCAGGCTGTAGGCTGTAGCAATCGTAGGATGCATCGCATTTGTTTTCCTCCTCTGCGGATTGTTGTGCTGTGCTGCCTGCTGCTCCAGGTCTGATTTTCATGTCTTTTGTCTGATTTTTTAAGTGTGTGGTGGGAGAATCACCCTAGTTGTACTCTTTCTCTGTCACAGCTGCCATGGTCCTCTGTCCAGGCTTTCTTATGTTTCTTTAGTCTTTGGGCATCACTGGACAGAGGCTGTCTGTCTGTCTGTGGGAGTCTCTGTGTGGTGTTTACCTGCCAATTCAGTCTGCACAGGGAGACCCCTTGGCCTGTGGTCCAGGTAAAGGCCCTTCAGGGTGGAGCCGAGACTGTGGGTGTCCTGAGCTGTCCTGTCCTGTGTACCTTCCCTGTGTTTTTACCTTGTCCCACAGATTAAGAGGGATTTGAGAATCAGCTGTGCCCCAGACTTCAATCAGGCTGAGGACTATGGGTCAAGGTTCAGGGGAGCCTGAGGCTCTGTCTATCAGCATCTTATATGTTCCAGGCTCAGTTTAGAAATGAATCACTTTTTGGAATTCTTTTTCTGGGAAACTACCTTTGACCTTCCTAACGACTGATTTATGGGCATGTGTTTTTAATAGATGACTTTGATTTGATAAAATTTTGTATCTAAGGTGATAGAGGATTGTGATTTCTGTCTGTCTTTGGAAAGCCTATGTCCAGTTTTAATTGTTTTTTTTTTTTTTCCATTGAACTGTTTACAGGACTGTCTACAAGAGAGAAGCTTCTCACATGGTTCCGTGTAAGTAGTGCTTCTTATGATGCTGTCACAGGTTATATTTTTAGACTAAGTGACTCTTTCTGTGTCAGCAGAGTTTAAAGTCTTACACTCATGGGAAGCTATGTCTCTGCTGACCCCCTGGATCCTGGTTTCATGCTTTGTGAGGAACCTGCCTCCGTTCACACTACTGCCAAGAGCGTGTAGTATGAGTGACATGCGTTTTGCCTTCTTGCTTCTGTAGAACCAAGATCTTTAAAGAGACAGTTTCCTCCTTCTCCGATAACCTTTCTCCACAGTTAACCTGACCATACAGACCAGCAGGAGCTGGGGGCCGGCTGTTGGTGACCTTGGTGCCTACTGTACACCTTTGTTCCTGTGCCGACAGTGCCTGCCACCCGCTAGTGCCTGTGTGTGTGGAGGCTGTGATGGCCCCACAGTGCCTGTAGCCACAGAGTGCGTGGGTGACATCTGTGGAAAGGACCTTGCGCTGGCCAGCACACAGTGGCACACGCCTGTCTCAGACACCACACTGTGGTCCCGATTCTAGTTCTGTCAAACTACCTTGAGATGACTCCTTTTAAAATTATCCTTAAGATGTCTTTCTTTTTCTAAAGCTTATAAACATTGTTTTCAAAACATTTTCAGCAGGAAGCTTGGTATATTTTTTGCAGTTTTGCATGAAAAACAAATGTCGTCATGATGGCTGCTAATGCTGATGAAGTAGTACCAGCCATCGTGATTTCATCACTTCCACAAACTCGCTCCCTTCATCCTCCCAGTGCCACTCTGAGATAGGGATTGGTATTCCCTAAGGCTTGGTGAGGTGAATTGACTCACTCAGGTTATCTTGATGCCAGTGGTGGGGCTGGGATTTGTGCCAAGACTTCCAACCTTACAACAGCAGAACAAGAAGAGCTGCCTTGTTGACGGGATGTTGGTTGGAACTCTCAGTGTGTCCTGACTTCCTGGTGGGCTTGATGGTGGCCCTGGGCTACTGTGAGGTACTGAGCACAGTGCTTCCTGATGAGACAGTGTTGCAAGCCTGCCCGCTGACTTCCAGAGATGTCAGCTGCAGCAGGACAGTGCCCTGGTCAGAGAGATGGCATGGGGGGTTGGGGTCTGTGCATGTAGGTGCTTGGGCTTGTGGGTGATTGGAATCTGGACTAGTATTGTAAGAGGAGAGTTCTTACTAACAAATTACTCGAACAGAGACTTTGTTTTTTCCTTCATTCATTCAGCAGATGTTTACCATGTGCCTGTGATGTACCAGGCACACTGCCAGAATCCTGACATCGGCCGGGGGGATAGAAAACATCAGTATAGTCAGTGAGTCCATCCTATGGTGTGTCAGGGGGTGACAGTGGCTGTGGATAAAACAGGGAAGGGCAGGGTATGAGAGTGCTGGTGCTGTGTGAATAGGCTGTCAGGTAGGCCCTGAGACATGGGGCATCTGCGCAAGCCTTGCTGGAGGTGCAGGTGTGAGCCTCTTGGTGCAGGAGGTGAGGAGCTACAGAGCCAAGGGGCGTTGGAGCAGAAGCTCGGGTCTGACGTGCCTGGCATAGAATGGTAAGGAGGCTGCAGGGTGGGAGGTGAGAGTGCAGCTGGGGCACATCAGGGGCCTCACAGGTCATCCCAAGGCCGCTCTCAGTCCACGTGGCATCGAGCAGAGTGGATGTGGGAGTAGGGAGCCAGCCAGCCAGTCTCTCAGTGCTAAGTTATTGTTGTGGCTTCAACTAAAGCTGCTGTAATACCTGCTTCTTAGAGGAATCCAAATCCCTATTGCCTTGGGGCCAACTTTGTAATCTTACAATCTGGATCTAATTTTCACCAAAATCTCAAGGGAAGAGCCTCTGGGACTCAGACAGATAAACAACACCCGTTATGTGCTGTTCCCATTTTCTCTTCGACTTTGGTGTTGTCCAGATTCTTCATCTGAGCCTAACGGTAGGCTCTTCAGACCCAGCCTACAGTTCTGGAAATAAACCAGTGTGCTGGTGTGGGGGCGAGCCTGGGCTGGTTACTCACCTCGCACAAGCCGTGCCCAGCAGCCAGGCTGAGAGGCAGAGGTGCGAGGCAGGAGGAGCCTTCACCTGCCAGCACTTGGGTTCTAGAGGTTGCAGCAGGCAGATTCTGGAAATTCCCTGAGGCCTTTTATCAGTAAAGACAGGGAACTTTTATGGGCACCTGTGGCATCTTCTGCTGATGGCAAGGGAGGTACTGTGAGCACTGAGCTGTCTGGAACAGAAGGGCTCTCCTCTTGTGGGCTGTGTCGAGTGAGTCCTGCAGCTTCCTCCTGGGGGGATTCTGGGGTGCTGTGATGAACCAGAGCGGAGCCCATCTGAGTGGATGTTTCCCAGGGGAGCCAGTGGTGTTGGAAGCACTTGGTTTTTCCATTCCCACATCTCGGAGAACTTTTCCCACTTCCTGAGAGAGAGAGATGGATGCAGTCCTCCGTAGAGAAGCACAGGCGGGCCTTCCCTGGGCTGTGTGGTCATGCAGACCTCTGAGGTCTCACTTAATTTTGCAGGTAAGGGACCATCTCCCATTGCTGGTTAGTGCCAGAGCCCACTCCTAGCCCCTGCAGCAAGATCAGGAAAAAAGAAATAGTAATGAACACTTTGTTGAAGATTTTTATTTACTTTGAGGTCTTTTTCTCTTGTAATACTGAATTGGTTATTTGCTTCTTAGAGTTTTTCTTTTTTAATTACCTTAAGATAACAACTTCCATTATAGAACTGAAAAACATGAAAAAGAATTTAAAAATTCATCTATACTTAGCCCATACTTAGCCCTAGTGCAGACAGCAGCTGAAGGGCATCAAGGGACTATCCCCACCCCTTCCTGTCCATGGCCCTCTGGGTGCCCCCCATCTTCATCAGCCCACCCCTTCCTGTCTGTGGCCCTCTGGGTACCCTCCCATCTTCATCAGCCCACCCCTTCCTGTCCATGGCCCTCTGGGTGCCCCCTATCTTCATCAGCCCACCCCTACCTGTCCATGGCCCTCTGGGTGCTCCCATCTTCATCAGCCCACCCCTTCCTGTCCATGGCCCTCTGGGTGCTCCCATCTTCATCAGCCCACCCCTGCCTGTCCATGGCCCTCTGGGTGCCCCCTATCTTCATCAGTCCACCCCTTCCTGTCCATGGCCCTCTGGGTGCCCCCCGTCTTCATCAGCCCAAGCCTTCCTGTCCATGGCCCTCTAGGTGTTCCCATCTTCATCAGCCCACCCCTTCCTGTCCATTGCCCTCTGGGTGCCTCCTGTCTTCATCAGCCCACCCCTTCCTGTCCATGGCCCTCTGGGTGCTCCCATCTTCATCAGCCCACCCCTTCCTGTCCATGGCCCTCTGGGTGCCCCCCAACTTCATCAGCCCACAGCTCCTGGAGCTGCCCTGTAGTCACTTTTGCACACGCTCTCTTTGCTTTGCCTCTCTCCTCCCAGCTCATATGTGGTAGAACAAGATCACAGTGTTGCTGGAGACCACATTGCTGTGCAGACTGGTCTCCTCTAATTTTACAACCAAGGGCTTGGATCCACCCACACCTGCCCCAGTCCCAGCAGCACCCTCCTGAAGAATTGCTTCTGTCTGAGGCCATTCTGTTCTATCTGCTTCTCCTTCCTCAGATTTCTGATCTAATCAGATGTCAATCTCAGCTGGTGTCTATGCCTCAGAGTTAAGGAGAAGAGAGTTTCTTCTCTGCCAGGTCACTCAAGGAGCCAGGTCACTTTTCCTCCCTTGGCCTTTCCTGCCCCTCAAATGCACAGAGTCCCTGCTGTGAGGTCAGGACAAGCCACCCTCTTGTTCCCCCAGGGACTTGCCCGGCTGTGTAGTCTATTGTGCTGTTTCTCTTTACGCCCTCCTCACTGGCAGGTCACTTCTGTTAGCATCCAGGATGCCTTAGTAGCTCTCATCTTGAAATTTAAAAAAAATTATTCGCTTGATCCTTGATTTTTAGCTATCTTGGCAAATTGATTTTACAGTGGCCTCTGCTTCCTCTTAAAAACTTGCTAAAATGACAGGTAAAATGTTTTTAAAGGGCAGAAGTCACCAAGAAGTTGAGAAAGAAGGTGACAGAACTTTGAAAGTTGAAAGGCAGATGGACAAACAGATGAAGAGGGCAGATCTGAACCTAGAAAGCTGAGAAGTGCATGTGTGTGTGCATGTGAATGTGTGTGTGGCATATGTTGTGAGTGTGTGTGAAGTGTATATGTGCATTTACCCACACAGGTCTGTGTGTACACGTGTATGTATATGTATGCAGGTCAGTGTGTGCTGTGTGTCTGAAGTACATGTGTGTATATAGGTGCACATGTGTGTGTATGTGTGGAAGGTACGTACATACGTGTGTGGTGTGTGTGCATCTGTTCTGCCTGTGTGTGTTGAGGGGACTGGGAATCGAGTTTCTTGTGTTGCAGACAGTACCCCCACTTCTTGAGAATGGCGTTACTGTGGACGGCCGAGCATGGGGAGATGGTAGAGATAGGGCTGGCGTAGGAAAGCAGTGGAAAGCCTGTCTGAGAAGCAGTCAGCCTCTCAGCCCTCTCCTACACAGGTTGGTTCTTCCCTGGAAGGTGAGCTGGGAGCCTGCCCCGTGGTAGGGGACTGTCCTAAATGAAAAGTAAGGCATGGCATGGCTTGACCCCAGCCCTTCCTTATTTGGCCCCAGAATACTAGGAACCTAGGAACAGAGACAGGAGGGAGGGAAAGGAACCACTGGGTGGGTGAAGAAGCTGAACATTGGGACCCTGAGATGTGGCTCCAAGAAGGGCTTGGAGGGTGCTTCCGGCATGAGTGGGTCTGCAGTGGTTGGCCCCCTGTCTAGGAGTTTGGAAAGAAATCAACCTAAGTTCATTGAACACCATGCAGATCAGTGGACAGGCCCTTATTCACTGCGAGAAACAGAAACATTGTGAAGAGGGGAGCTGCAGCATCAGGTGTGGATACCAGGTGCACAGCCGTCGAGGAGGTCCTGGAAAATGGGGAGGAGGGTGAGGTAGGGGCTTAGGATGAGTCAGTGCTCATCT